GTCTACGAGTTAGGGTGTTAGGGGCGGAGGAGGGCGCGCGAGTCGACCGCTGCGAGCGCGTTGACCGCCAGAGCTAAGCCGCCGAGCTGAACGTGCCGACGCCCGATTACGCAGAGTAGTCCTGTCTCTGCTTTCTGTGAGTGCGGCCGTGTCACCGATGCATTCAAACCTGCAGAAGGAAGTGGAGGTACGGGATCGGAATAGGCGGGGTCGGACGTAGCCGTGTTGACGTATCCCCGAGCAGTTGGGCGCAAGAGTTCAGCCCTGACTTTCAGAGGCAGCGCAGCAATCCACCTCTGATGAAGCCGCCGCAACGCATGCCGAGCTGCCAGAGCCGGCACGGCTTCAAGGTCACACACACACACACAGTTGGCATCGTGTCGTTGGCGTTGGCATGTTTGCCGAATCCGAATTGAGCGGCGCAGCACTGCAATGTGAGGGGATCGTGGGGGGATTCGCGATTATATTTGGACGGGATGGGAGGATGGGGATACCTTGCCTACGCCTGCAGATCTAATACTCTTTGCACTCGCAGGCTCTCCACTTTTGTCGTTTCTCTCTGCACCTCCTATTCCGTCGATGTCTGCCGTATGGCGGTTGTAGTGGTTTTTCTGCCACCATGTGCCGCATGAACGCGTCAGTTCCGTTGCTTTAAGCCGCTCAACGTCACAAAGGAGAGGGAGGGGGAGGAGAAGGAGGAGGAGGAAGAAGAGGAGGTGGAGAAAAAGGATATAGGGAGTGAAAGGAGCACGGAGGAGGAGGAAGGAGACAGGAGTAAGGAGGAAGGAAGAAGTTGGAAGGAGAGAGGAAATTGGAAGGAAGAAAGAGGAAGGATGAAGAAGGAAGGTGGAAATAGGGAGGAGGGAGGAGCGAGGAGGGGGGAGGGAGGAGAGAGGAGGAAGGAGGGAGGCGTGAGGAGGGAGGAAGGAGGAGGGAGGGAGGGAGGGAGGAGGAGGGAGGAGGGCGGAGGAAGTAGGGAGGAGGGGGCAGGAGGAGGAAGAGGAGGAGGAGGAGAGGAGTGAGGAGAAGGAGGATTCGAATGGAGATTCGACTAACCTGATCAACCCCACAGTGAGCACGATTCCAGGGCCAACGATGTGGAGGACGGAAGCCATACATGGGCAAGGGGCGTGTTGTTGCTCAGTTGCCACAGAAGGGGGAGGGCAACACGACGACCAACAACTGCTTCCGTCGCAGCGCGGCAGAGGCAAGCCGCACCCGCGTTCGAGCGACACTGGGGCGCGGAGTCGCGAATAAGCCCACATGCAAGAGGGGAGGAAAAGAGGAGGAGGAGGAGGAGGGCGCGACCAGGCCGAGGGGGAGGAGGAGGAGGAGGAGGAGGAGGAGAGAGGAGGATGGAGGAGGAGGAGAGGAGGAGGAGGAGGAGGAAGAGGAGGAGGAGGAGGAGGAGGAGGAGGAGGAGGAGGAGGAGGAGGAGGAGGAAAGGAAAGGAGGAGGAGGAGGAGGAGGAGGAGGAGGAAAGGAGGAGGAGGAGGAGGAGGAGGAGGAGGAAAGGAGGAGGAGGGAGGAGGAGGAGGAGGAAAGGAGGCGCGGAGCCAGCGGCCGGAAGACTGCTTGCCAGCGCTGCAGCAGCTGCGGGGGGCCATAGGCAGTGGATGGTGCGGCGGCCCCGAGGCGGGGGGCAGCCGACGGGCCAGCAGTCGCGGGGCGCAGTGGAGGTTTCGGGGCGGAAACGACCAAGAGCACCCGCAAACAAAAAGGCTACACCGGCCCAGAAGGGGCCTGTGGAATCGTGGTGGTGCTAGTGCTGCGAAATCGAGGAAGAAAGCCAGGAATGACATAAAACGAAAAAACGTATCGTCGAAGACTTCGCAGCTCTTGCGTGTCACAGTCCCCGTTGACGGGGCCCTGCTCTCGGGCGAGGCGCGCCCGGCCGCGCCGTGGTATTCGTGCTGGCCAGCTCCACTGCCCCCGAGTCGTTCCAGGGCCCCAGAGACCAGGGCTCTGCAGACCGGGACTCTGCCAGGCCAGGCGGGAGAGCAAGGCAGGGTTCGGAAACGTCCCCGCCAACGGTTGCAGCTTTCTCGGGTGCGCCGACGTCCTGGTTTGTCGCAATCCCCGTTGACGGGGCCCTAATCTCGGGCGCTGTGCGCCCCACCCCCAGACATCCGCCGACGTGTTTTCTTCCATGCGCGGCCCCAGAGGTCCCCCGACCTCTTCCTTGGGGCAAGTTTTTCGCCCCGGATCCGTTTCTGATGGCCCCGGGGCCCGATAACAGGCCCCAGAGGGCGGAATCGAGGAAGGACACCGGGAATGGCACAGACGAACGTATCGTCGAAGAGTTTGGAATTTCGGTGTGTCACAGTCCCCGTTGACGGGGCCCCGATCTCGGGCGAGGCGCGCCCGGCCGCGCCGTCCCCGCGCGCGCGCGCCTGCGCGCCCGTGCACGGGGCACGACTCTCTCCGCGCACGACGGCCATCGGCCGTTGTTTCGCGGCCGGGGGCTCTCGTAGACCGTTCGCTTCGTGTTGGAAATGGCCGCCCTCCGTCCGCGTCATCGCCGTCATCCTGAGCATCGCCATCGTCGGTGTCCACACCATCATAGGCAGCATCATCAGCAGTATCAGCGTCGTCATCATCATCATCATCATCATCATCATCATCATCATCATCACCATCATCATCATCATCATCATCAGCAGCAGCAGCATCATCAGCAGCAGCAGCATCAGCAGCAGCAGCAACAGCAGCAGCACTCATCATCATCAGCAGCAGCAGCATCCTCATCATCATCATCATCATCATCAGCATCAGCATCAATAATCAGCATCATCATCAGCATCAGCATCAGCATCAGCATCAGCATCATCAGCATCAGCATCAGCATCAGCATCAGCATCATCATCATCATCATCATCATCATCATCATCATCATCATCATCATCATCATGATCAGCATCCTCATCATTAGCAGCAGCAGCACCACCACCAGCAGCATCACCATGTCGTCGTCGGCAGAAGCAGTACATTTGGCGACGGCATCATTATCCCACATGTTCCCCATCCACCTCATCTCCCTTCCTCACCAGCCTTCTCCTTCGTCTCATCCGCATCCTCGCCTCGTCTTCTCCCCTGTCCTCCCTCTGTTCCCATCCCTGCTCGTGCCCACACTCTGTCGCCTCCTGCTCCTGTTCATGCGCCTGCACGCTTAAGTCGGGCACGTCCCTATACAGGAGGAAAATTCAAACATACTACAAAAATAGTCTGAGGACGATTTCCCGACTATATTTGATCATTTCTGATTATTGTTTGATGATTTTTTATTTTTCGTCCAACATCCGCCTGTAGGAGGACATGCCCGACCTAAGCCTACTCCCACTCGCATCACCATCCCTACTCCCAGAGTGTCCCTCGCACTGATCTCCGTGCGCCGTCAGCATCCGGGGCGCTCCAAACAAGGCCTTGCCTTCGAGGATCGAAGGAGTTGGCATCTCTTCCGCGGCGGCGGAAGGTCGGCGGAAGGCGGCGGAAGTAGAATTAGGTCGGGCATGTCCTCCTACAGACGGATTTTCTTCGATTAATCTAAGCATGACGAAACATTTAAAATTGTCAAACCAAAATGCTCAAAAGATGTTCAACAATACTAACAAAAATCGTCCCCAGACTATTTCTGACTATTTCTGAATATTCCTCCTGTAGAGGGGCACGCCCGACTTAAAAGTAGAACGAGGCCGCCTCCGCCGGCGGAAGCCGGCGGAAGGCCGACGGAAGAAGACGGAAGTAAAAGATGCACCCCCAAGCGATGAAAACGTTTTTGGGTTCAGGGTTTCCGGGATCCGCCATATTTTCTGGCGGTGGCTAAACGAAAAGCAATGTTGGCCAGCTGTTCGTCAGCCCCCTTTTCTGGAAGAGGAGGGCATCGAGCAAGGGGAGGAGGACGGGGAGAAGGGAGGAGGAAGATGAAGGAATGGTCGATTCGATTGTGTTCCCCGTCGGAAGCAGATGGGGGTACGTCGCCAGCAAGGCGACGGAGGTAAATCCACATGCACCCGGGCCTAAAGTTGCAGAATGATGTTGAAGCAAAGCCCCAGACCCAGACCAAGGCTGTCCTGTCCGTCAAGCAAACTACAGGCAGGCCTCAGCTCGAGCCCAAATCAGCATTCGCAACGTGTGCAATGCGGGCGCGAAAATAAGCTACAAGTATGTCTGACGGAAATACCTGACACGAGTAATGCGTTATAAGATTGCGAGATCGCGTCTTGACTGTTTCCAGGCCGGGTGTCGAGGACACAACGATCCAGGCTACGATAATTGTGCGCAGAAGTCCCAGCCTTTGCGCTAGTTGGGACCGTGTGTGTCATAGTTGCAGAAAGAAAGTAGCTGATCACGCGCAGACTGCGACACAGGTTCCTGCGCGAATTCCATGAGCGGGAGGGCGCGTCCGTGGGGGACGAGGCTTGACCTCGGTATTCGAGTATGCTGTACGCTGCGTGTGATCTGCTGGCCACTGCGCGCAATACTCATCATCCCTACCTTCTACCTCCTCCACGGCGCAGGCCCGCTCGTGGCCACATCGCGGTGCTTCAAGATTGGCCAGCGAGTCGGACTCGTGGCTCTTCTGGGACCTCGTGAACTTGATAACCCCCGGTCAGCATTTTGAGCTGGACTCGGTTGCGGGCGGCCACGGCCTTTCCCACCCCTGAGCGGCCTGTGTCAAAGCACACGTTTTTGAGGCCGCCAGCCTTGTCAGCAAAGTGTCTCGTGAGATGGATCGTTGGCCCGTTCGCGCCAGGGCGCTGAGCTCCGCAGCACGATAGAGGTGCAGGCTCAAAATCTTCAAATTCGACAGCGCCCCTCGGGCGCCCCTCGGGCGCTTGGGTGCCTCGAGGCCACCCCGCGGGACGTCAGCATTGGACACGGCTGCCGGTGGTTGACTGTCTCTCGCGCCTTTGGCGACGAGGAGGATCGAGGAGGAGGAGGCGAAGGAAGAGGAGGAGGAGGAGGAGGAGAAGGAGGTGGGTGCCTCGCGCCCCCCCCCC